CTGTGCGCCCCACCCATCTGCCTGCACCTGCTGCCCCCTGCCTTAGCTAGGGAGCTCCGTGGGGCAGGGCCTGGGCCCAGGGGAACATGGATCATAAATACCCGGGGGCAGAGTGGCGAGAGCAGCAGGAAGGAGCAGCCAGCCCTGTCCCCGGAGCCGCGGCCTCGCTCCGCCCCGGCTGAGAGGAAGGACTGGGCCAGGCACTGCAGGCGAGGCCTGGGGAGGGTCAGTCGTCTGGGCTGAGGCCACCTGCACTAGCTGGGGGCTCCCTGGGCGCCCTGTCCCACAAGCAGGAATGGGGGGACATTGAGGCAGGAGGCATGGGGCATGCTGCGGCAGGGAAAGGGGTGGGAGGAGCTTCGGGGTTAGATATTGAGTGTTCTGGGCTGGGCTATCGGGGGCAGAGGGTCAGGAGCGAGGGCACCAGCAGAGCTGGGGGGGAGCCCAGGGCTGGCTGTGGGGCACTGGCAGAGCTGGGGGCGGGGGACCCAGAGCTGGGCTAGCAGGGGGCTATGGGTCAGGAGTGAGGGCCAGCATTCCTCAGGTCCCAGGGACCCTGCCCAGCCCCCTTGCGGGGCACAGCCATGATCCACAAACCAGCCCCCTCCCTGGCTCTCCCTCGCCCTCAGAGGGGGCCTGCAGGTCTCTGGCTCCCCTGCTAACAGGAACGGGTGCAGCTCCCACCCTCCGGAGAGGCCTGGCTGGGAGCCCCGGCCGGAGGCAGGCGCCCCACGCCCCTGCCAGTCGGCTGCTCTAATCCCACCCCTGCCAGGCAGCCGCAGGGACGTAGAGGCCCCTTGGCAAGGGCAGTATTTATAGCTCAGGGAATTAGCCGGAGTCAGAGCGTGGGGATTACAGGGCTGAGCCACTCCTGGGGGCCGGGGAGGAGCAGACAATAAAGGATGCACTGGCACTAATGTACAGGGCTGCCAGGACTCCTGGGTTCTCTTCCTGCCTGCCATGGGTGACCTTGGGCAAGTCGCTGCCCATGCCTCAGTTTCCCCATCTGTAGAACAGGCATGGTGCCCCCCTGGTACAAGGTGGGAGGCGTAACTCACTCACGGGTTCAGAGAGGGACCTGCTGCTGGCCAGGGCACTGTCACCAGAGGACTGATGCCAGGCCAGCACAACAGAGACGCACAGAGACCAGCGGGGCCCTGGAACCATGTGTACAGCGGGGGCCCGAAAGCCAGGGAACAAGCCGTGCAGGTGCGGCCTGTACGCCGGCAGCCAGCTGGTCGGTTGGTCTTGTGACTTTGAGCCCCGGGCGCGGGGACCAGGGCACACACAGCACTCTCCCTGCTGCCTGGCCAGCCGGACCTGCTGGGAGCCCTGCAGAGAGTGCCCGGAGGCAGCCCCATGCCGCCGGTGCCAGCACTGTCTCCCCCAGCGGAACCCGCCCTGAGCTTTCCTGGCTAAGGAGGTGGGCACTGCCCCACGGGGTTCCTCTCGCTCTGCGTTCGGGGGCCGCAGGACACGTGGGGAAAGGCTGCTCCTGGGTGTCTGGACAGGGCATGCTAGACAGCTGGGTTCCCCCAGGGACCATGGGCACGGCTGGGTAAGCCAGTGCGTGGCAGTGACCTGTGCCCAGCAGAGCAGTGCCCTGGACATGCTGCTCTGCGTGCTGGATGTTCAAACCCACCCTGCAAGAATGGGGATAGCGCCAGGGCAGGGAGTGCAGGGGGCACCTGTCGGGGGGCTGTGGCCCAGGGAGTGGGGTGCTGAGGGCAGGAGTCCCAGCCCCCCATGCTCTGCAGCCCGTGTCAGAGGCCAGGCACCCCTGAGACGGAGCGAGGCAGCGCCGCATGGCACAGGACAAGGGCAGAGATCACGGCTGCGTCAGGGCTGCGGGGGGCTCTGAAGGGCGAAGGCTGGGAGAGCAGCTGCAGCCGGGACTCATCCACTCCCCTGTGCTCCGGTGCATGAACACAGCCTGCCCACAGGCCCGCATGCAGGCCCAGCCTGTACCAGCCCCCCGCCCTCCAGAAACCGGCACCGAGGGCAGCTAGGAGCACGCCAGGCCCTGCTCAGCCAGGGAACACTGGCACGATGCCCTCAGAGCAGCCTGTGTGGTCAGTGAAGAGAGACCTGGGCCCAGCCCCAATGCTTGTGCCAATGGCCCCCTCACCCCCTGGACCACAGGGAGGCCTGGCTCCAGCACAGCCCCCACCCCTCCCCGAGGGCGCCAGGGTGCACACAATCCTGAAGAGGGCAGTGAGCCTGTCCCCAGCCCCACGCACCGGCAGTCGGCTCCAGCTCGCACAGAGAAGGGCGCTGGGAAGCTGCTGGGGGGCCCTGCCCCCACCACTCCAGCCTGAATTCAAGTGCTGCCCTGAGACCAGACCGGTTCTGAGCCCCGCTCGCTGCAGCGCTGCCATGTGCCAGCACAGCCCAGGGCCACAGGACACCCCACCCCCAAAGGGAGTGGAGCCGCAAGCCCAGCGTCAGGCCAAGAGCGCAGCCCAGGCGGCTCTGGGACCCTCCAGGCGGGGCTGGGGAGACAGGACCCGAGCACCACAGACACACTAGAGACACTGCGAGGACACAGCCCCTCGCCCGCCTGCCACGGTCGGTGCCCCCTCGCCGCAGGGCTCTGCTCCGCTGCAGAGAAAGGGCCCCAGGATCCATCCCTTGAGTGCGGGGTGCCAGGGCCCCTGGCCGTCACAGCCTGGGCTGCCCTCACCCCTCTGGGCGCAGCCTCACCGGCTCCAGACGCCCCAGGCTGTAAGATCTGGCTGCAGTGAGGGCAGAGCTCAGATCCAATTCAGTTTCAAGGCCCAGCATAGCGACCGCCAGCACCGTGCATGGGGCCAACGGCACCCACATCTCTCTGCACCCCTGAGCTGCTCAGCACCCAGGGGAGCGCTCGCAGACACCACAGCTCCCTCCGGTGTGGGGCGGTGCCCACAGGGCCAATGAGTTCAGCTCCAGCCCTGGCAGGGCCAACCCAGCTCCTCCTTCCCAGGCACAGCAGCTGCCCCACGGATTGGGGTGGTGGGGCCAGGGACTGTCAGCGAAGGCCTTCAAAGGCCAAGGTCTTGCCTGCCCGGCCTGGGCATTAGAGCCAGGGTTCGTGCTGCTCGCAGCTCCCTCACGCCCCAGAAGCAGGTGCATTTCTGCCATGCGCTGGACTCCTGCAGGGCAGAGCGACAGTGAAGTCCCGGGCGCTGCCACCCCCGAGGCTGGCCAGGATGGCTCCCCGCATCACTCAGTGCTGGTTTTGTGTGGAGCCCTATGGGCCCAGCCAGCCACCACTCCCTCTCTGCTCCCATCACAGGGGGACGGGCAGAAGCTGACACCAGGCAGCCGGGCCAGGCCAGCGTGGGAGCTCGGTTAGAGACGTGGTAACAGCGCACGGTGCCCCGTGCAGACAGGCCCCGCAGGGAGCTAGGCTGCGGCAGGCAGGGACGCAGGAGTTAAGCCTGTTCTATTTATCGCTGTCTCTAATCGCCTTGTGCCGCTCTATTCCTGGCCTGGGCAGCCCCCGCCCCCGCGGCAGCTCCCAGGGCCTCCCGCAGGAAAACCAAGACAGGTTGGGCCACTTCTTGTGCTTGGGGCCAGGCCAACAGGATCTAGGGTGCTGGCGGCTCGCCCTCCGCCCCTGTCGCCCAGGGCCGCCCTGCTCCCCACCCCTCCTAGCCGGTCCGGATCCCCAACCAGCGACGTCGCTCCCCACAGCGCCGGGGACGGCCGAAGCGCAGCCAATCCCTGGCCCCCGTGGAACGAGAGCGGCTCTGCAGAGACCCAGCGCCCGCACATGCCCCCTGGCCTGGCACCTCACCAGCTAGGGCAGTGCATGGGGCGTTGTAGGGCGAGCACTCAGCCCCAGGCTGGCCCCATGCACCAGCTGTAAAGGCGACTCCAGGGGGCTGCGGTCAGTGTGTAGCTGCCACATCCCAGCGTCCCCCAGCTAGCCCGGCAGAGACAGCAAGGGCAGGCTGGGGGCTGGGCTGCTGCAGGGCACGTGGGGGGCAGAGGCTGTGGGTCAGGGCCAACATGCCACTTTCCCCAGCACGCGGGGAGGAGATGAAGATTCAACCCTTCGGCAGCATGCACAGGTACCAGCGGGCAGCGAGCCCGGGCTGGCACCCTGGCAGGACGCGATGCTGGGAGCCCTCCACACTCGCCCCCTGGCGCACACCAGCTCTGCGGGGAGGGGCTGCAGGCGCGCTGCCCCCTGCTGGTTCCCCTGGCCCACGCAGCAGTGGTGTCTAGGGCTTTGCACAGGGCAGCGCTGGGCATGGCCCCTCTGGGTCAGCATGGACCCCAGTGCTCCAGCCCCGGCGCTCTCTCCTCGGAGTCAGGGCACAGCGACATGGTGTGGCCACTGGGAGCATGAGCCATTGTTGAAGAGCCCCTAGCAATTCTCACAAGACCCGGGGAAATGCCGCGTTGGCTCCCGACGCCTGGCAGCTTCATGGGAGACACTTGCCTGAAAGCCGCTGCACAGCCCTGCCAACAGAGCTGACGGTGCTAGAGCATGTGAGCTCAGCCACCTGTGGAACTCACTGACACAGGAGGCTACTCAGGCAGGAAGCCCCAAAGTGGTACAGCAGGTACCTGGCTAAGGCCGGCATCTGGGATAGTCGTTGCAGGGCTAGAACTGGGTATCTGTCTGCAGGGCTCTGGGGCAAACCCTGCGAGATGTGAGCAGGAGGGGCAGGGACTGGCACTGGGAGTTTTGTAACTGAGGGTGCCAGGCCAAGAGCCACATGGGGTAGCCCACCGGGCGACGGGTGAGCCCCTGCAAGGGCACATCCCAGGCTGCTGCTTCTGGAGCAGGGTCCCAGAGCTGTGCGCACCTGGGGCAGATGTGGCCGGAGCTTCCTCAGCACCCAGGGGTGCTGGGGGGGCAGCATATGCAGCCTGGGGGCGGCCCTGCTCAGGGCTCAAGCTGCAGCGCCAGTAGGCCTTGCTCACACAGCACAGACCTAGCCCGGCCAGGGCACAGGCCTTTACCGCGCCTGGCCAGTCCAGC